CCTCCCAGCTAGGAGTGAGATCACAGTGTTGAGAGCCTGGCGCCCGTTGAGTGGCTGGTACTTCCAGGTAGGGGGTACCAGGTTAAGAGCTGTGACAGACAGTTAAGAGAAAATTTAGGCGCCGTGGGAACTCTCCTTTGCAGGTAAAATTACCATGCCAAAGATGAAACAAGGCTCTATGCTAATCCCCCAAGCTGGTAGAATTGAGCAGAGAAGTTAACAGGAAGCTAGTCTGGTTTAGTGTAAACAGTTCTTGCATCCTGTGCTTTGACTTCGAGGAGCAGGGGAAAAACCTGGGATCCAACATTCCTTCTCAGGACTTCAATTCAAGAATTGATAGTTGTAGCTACTCTCCTCTTATGCTCTAACCAAGTCATTTCCAATACAAGGCTTAGACTCTTTAGGACAAAATGTTTATTAAAACATTTAGCATACATTTCTTGCTTAATAATGATTATTCTGGCTGCAATTCTAACCTTATAGTTGATATCTTTTTCTAGTGCATATAATTTTGTATTGGATTTTGAACTCTCTTGTTTAAACAAAAGGTACTGTGAAAGCTTCTTCCATTCTTCAGCCAATAGCCTTTAAGATACCAGCCTACTTGGGTATGGTCTTTTATAATATAAGTGCAGCTGTAAAGTTTGTGAATACACTTGAACGCACTGGCACAGGAGATTACTTCCTAAATATAACTCCAGCAGCATAGACAATGAGAGAAACAATTAATAAATGGGAACTCCTGAAACTGAATAGCTACTGTAAAGCAAAGGACATGGCTAACAAAACAAAAATGACAGTCTACAGAGTGTGAAAAGATCTTCACTAACCCCACATCAGACAGAGGACTGATCTCCAAAATATACAAAGAACTCAAGAAATTGGTCATCAAAAGAACACATAATTCAATAAAAATGGAGTAGAGACCCAAGCAGGGAACTCTCAACAGAAAAATCCAAAATGACTGAAAGACACTTAAGGAAATGTTCAACATCTCTAGATATCAGAGAATTACAAATCAAAACAACTCTGAGATTCCATCTTACACTTGTAAGAATGGCAAAGATCAAAAACACTGATGACAACTTATGCTGGAGAGGTTGTGGGGTAAAGGGAACATTTCTGCATTGCTGGTAGGAATGTGAGTACAGCCCCTTTGGATGCCAGTGTGGTGATGTCTCAGAAAATTAGAAAACAACCTTCCTCAAGACTCAGTAATACCACTTACTTTTAGGTATATATCCAAAGGATGATCAATCATGCCGCATGAACATTGCACAACTATGTTCATAGCAGCATTGTTTTTCATAGCCAGAACCTGGAAGCAACCTAAGTGCCCTTCAACCGAAGAATGGATAAGGAAAATGTGGTACATTAACACAGTGGAGTACTGCACAGCCGAAAATAATAATGACATCTTGAAATTTGCAGGCAAATGGATGGAGCTAGAAAACATCATAGTGAGTGAGGTAACCCAGATGCAGAAATACAATTATCACATGTATTCACTCATAGGTGGTTTTTAAATATAAAGCAAAGAAAACCAGCCTATAAACCACAATCCCAGAGAACTTAGACAACATTGAGGACATTAAAAGAGACTTACATAGATCTAATTTACATGGGAAGAAGTAAAAGACAAGATCTCTTGAGTAAATTGGGAGCATGAAGACCTTGGGGGAGGGTTGAAGGCAGGAGGGGACAGGCAGAGAGGGGAGCATAGAAAAATGTAGAGCTCAACAAAAATATTAATAAAAAAGAACTTTAAATCTTTGAAGAAAGAAATTGAAGAAGACACCAGAAAGCGGAAAGTTCTCACATGTTCTTAGGTAGGTAGAAATAACAAAAAAATGCAATGCTGTCAAAAGCAATTTACAGATTCAAAAAATGCCCATCAAAATCCCAGCATAATTTTTTTAAAACCTTGAAAGTATAGTACTCAACTTCATATGGAAATGCAAAAATGAAAACAAACAAACAAAAAACCCCAAGATAGGCAAAACATTCCTGTACAATAAAGTAATGTCTAAAAACATCATAATGCTTTTTTATTATGTTTTTATTGTGTTTTCTTTAAACTTTTTGATTGTGAATGAGCAAAGTACAGAGACATTTAATTGTACAGGCTGCTAAGTTGAACCAACATGTATGTTTTAAAGGCATCTTGACCTAAATTTTGCATCTAAGCATAAGTTGCTTTGGAAAAGATGTTCTACTTTTATTTCTACAGAGGATGAAAACCTGTGGATTCCTTTCAGACTAATGTGGCTTGATGGACCAAGACTCCCTGAAGGGTCGTGAACCCCAAAATGATCTTGCCAAACAAAAATCAGGAAGTAGTTTGGAGAGAACTGTGCCCAAATAGCCAAGTATTGTTCATAAATTTTTGTTTACATTTAAAGGGGGATATGATATAGAGATCAATAATTTGCATTTGAATGGATCATGGTTTATTGATACAAACTTATGGTCAATTTTGCCAAATGTATATTTCTGCTCTTGATTAAGGTATTGTGTTTATGCAGCTTATTTAAGAAAGTAATGTGCAATTAGGAAATATATGTTAATAGAATATCATCTACAATAGTCAAGCTTACAGTCATGTTAGTTGGGTTTACGAGATATATACAGGTATATTTCAGTCAGATACATAATCCTTAAACCTTTCAAAGACCTATGGAATATGGCATGGCATTTAAAATGTTTTAAAACTTAGGAATTTTCATGACAGTGAGACACATGCTCCTGGCAGCACCAATTCTTTCAAGAGAAGATGGGCATCAAAGACGCTTCTTATGAAGTTGCTAGTCATTTTGGCAAGAAACTGCTCTTGCATGGACTGCTTGTTTGATGGTATGCTGTATAAACTGGACATGCAGGACACATAGAAAATGACTTGCCTAAAGGTGAGACAGTTATTCAGGGTTCCTGCTTCATGGAAGAACAAAATGAGTCTGCTAGATATTTTCAGGACACAGAAAAAATGGCTGACATGCTACCAATATAGGAAGAACTGTCTTTGAAATTTCCTGCTTCATGGAAAGGTCTTCTGTATTCTATGGTCCTGTAGGCTGAAGATGGATGCAGAACTTTGGGTGACTGTCCAGGTAGGGAGATATCTCTGTCATTTCTAGATTTTTGGAAGTTGCAAGGCACTTCCTATTAACTTTCTATTAATATTTTATATTTCTGTGGTCTTTGATGTAGTTGAAGAATAGATAGTTATAATCATAGCTTACCTTAGTTATGATAAAAGATAAAGTAGATATAAATATTATAACTGCAAGTCTTGCTTGATACCTGTTTTGTTATGTGTAATTTTACTATGTTAAAATTAAAACCTTCCTTTTATTTGAACAGAAAAGGGGAAACAGTGTGGGATGTCCTTCTGTATACATTGCCATTGGTTAATAAAGAAGCTGCTTTTGGCCAATGGCTTAACACAGTAAAGGCAGGTAGGAACTCTGAAAAGAGATGTAGAAAGTAGGTGGAGTCAGTGGTAAGCCATGTAACTGCCACAGGGGACGGATGCCCCAGATCTTAGTCAGCTGGCCACGTCCTTGTGGTAATGCACAAATTAGTAGAAACTGGTAAATTTAAGGGATAAGAACTAGCTAGCAGTAGGCTTAAATAATTGGGCTAGCTGTGTTGTCATTAATAGTGTCTTTGTGAATATTTTGGGTTAGGGCAGACGGGGAATGTATGAGTAGCCTCCATCTACAGCTCTCTGTGGAAATCCTTGCCAAATATTTGGATGCCATTTGTAGATGGATTTTTTTGTCCTGCCTTGTCCTGCAGTCATTCAGTCTCAACAAAACACACAGAAGCTTATACTAAGTATAAATTGTTTGGCCTATTAGCTCAAACTTATTGTTAACTAGCTATTATATCTTAAGTTAACCCATATTAATTCTCTGTGTTTAACCATGTGACTTGCTTGGTACCTTTATCAGTGAGGATTTCTCATCCTGATTCCTCTGCAACGGGCTGGTGACTGACTCTCTGCCTTTCCACCTCTCAGAATTCTCCTAGTCTGCTTGCTCCACCTACACTTCAAGCCTGGCTACCGACCAATCAGCATTTTCTTAAACCAATATGAGTGACAATTCTTTACAGTGTACAAGAGCATTATCCCACAGCATAACTCAGTGGCATACCTGGTCCAGGCCTGAAGCCCTGGGTTAGGTCAGCAGCTTTACTACATAATAGAAGTAAAAACGAAATAGAAGCAGACAATAAATGAAAGAAGTAAGAATGTGGTGACCTCTGGAGAGGATGGCCATGGTGGAGCTTGAGGGAAGCCATGTGGTTCTGTCTTTCCTCTGTGTCTCACTTCTCCTCATTACCCTTCCCCTTTTCTCTCACTACTCTGTCCTTTCCCAGTGTGAAACTGACTTACTTTTAACACTTAATTTTCTTGTCTGTCTAATGGTTCCACACTGCATACACTATGCCATCTGACTGCGGGTTAACAGTCTACACTTAGTGCTCCCCCTCCACTTGTTCATAAGTGATAGAGCTTGATATTTACCCCAGGCACCCAAGCCTCCAAACCTCCTGCCTCAGGCAATCTGTTAGAGGGATTAAAAGTGTGAACAGTGAATTATTTCTCAGTTGGTCTCTTAAGAAATTAAATGAAATTGTAAATCAATTTATATGAAAAACCACAATTTTTAACAAGGCATATCCTCAGCTGTCCTAGACCCTATGTTTGTCTTTTCTATGTTAGCCCCCTATTTGTTCACCCCCTCTCTACAGAAACATTACTTTCATTGTCTCTCTTCTGGGGCTGAGGATGCAGGCTTCTCATTCTCCGGCACAGATGTTGGTCTGACACAGGGTGCAGTGAAGACTGCCCAGCTCTCTGTAAGCTTTCTCTGAGTTGGAAAACCCCATCCTCAGGGCTCCACAGTGCCACAAAACCATGGCATGCCAACCACACCCTCCTTTGCCCACCCCATGGCATCCTGACCAGCTCCTTCCTTTCCTATCTTTACAAGGCACATAGGTCTCCACGCTTGAAGGACAACAGCAGAGGCGACCTGGATACAGAAGCTCCAGGACACTGTGGGGCAGAAGCCAGAGCCTTAGGCAAGAGCTGCATCTCTTCTCCCATCCTTTGCACGAGAAGATTGGGCCCCTGCATCTGACCCTGGTGAGTGTGGGCAGGCAGGGCTGGGAAATCCCCTGCAGCTCATTTCCAAATGTGAAATGCAAAGACTTGGTCATGTCACCTGTCTGTAGAAAGTGTGGTGTTCATGGTGGGTTGAAGATGTACAACCTCTGATCTCTCCAGATGTGTGAAAGTGAATAAGGTTGATGATGTTGGGTGGGTAAAAATGTTATCAAGTAGCAAAGTTATCACAAGTGAAAAAGAAATTTGTTAACACTGGCATTGTAAGGGACCTGAAAAATTTATTTTTTTTCTTTATTTTATGATTTAAAATTTGTTCAAAAATCTCTAGTTTGCTATATAGATATTCATCAACTTCTTAAACTCTTACTCAGATAGTGCATAAGAAGTTTGAACAGACAGAAAAATTTAAAGTCAAAACAACTAGAGTATAAACCTGCCACAGGATTATGTATCTAAAATGCTATCTTCTCTTGCTTTCCTGTGTAAAACTTGTAAGAAATGTAATCATCTGGTACAGTTTAGGAAGACAGCAAGTTTTATAGTAACACCTATTTATTAAGCACCTGTGTCCAGGCCTGGGCATTTGCACAGAAGAGCCCTTGTTATGGTATTAACACATGCCTCTCTCCATCAGTGCATTTTCTTCAGTCAATGTGTATTAAAACGCACACACATGTAGAGCCTATTTCTGCACCAAACTGTGGCTAAACATCTGTGAAGCATTTGAAAGGTAGATAAATATGATAAGTGAAAAATGTTAGGGTCAGAAAGAAGAAAAATTAATAACACTTTGACGTGTGGTTGGTTATCCAACAAAGGCTCCCTTTAAACAGGATTAGGGAAATTCCATGGAGGAGAGATTAGTTTGGGGAATGACTATTGGGTTTACCAAAAAAGTTTATGAGATTGGTAGGTGGGTCTAGTGGTTAGAACTGTCCAGCTGCAAAGTAGGGAAGCTATCATAAGGTTGTGGGCACCTGACTAGCAGCAGAGGTTGTGGGGTGCTTGCTGATTAGTTAGACCCCGAGTTGTGGTTTTCTCTGATAACTACTTGCTCAGATCCAGCCAGCTCCAGCAAACTGAAACTAAGGCCTGGTCTCTGGAGGGGCTACTAAAAATGTTTATCAGGCCCCTTCTCTGGCTCCCTGACCCTCTCACAAAATAAATTACAGGCAAGAATGGAGAATTTTGGTGAGAAAGAACATCAGAACGAACATAAATACATTTGGGGCCCTCAAAGCTGAATTGAGTTACATTTTAAGTGATTTATTCAGTTTTATTTGATGTGCATGAGTGTTTTGCTTGCATGAATGTAAGTGCACTGCTGGAACACCTGGTGTCTCTGCAGGTCAGAGAGGCCACTGGATCCCTGGATCTGGAGGTGCAGACAGTTGAAAGTCCCCTATATGGTGCTAGAAATGGAACCCAAGTCATCTTAGGAGCAATGTGTGCTCTTAACCACTGAGCCATCTCTCCAGCCCCTTAAGTTGTATTCCTGAGATCATAGCAAGAAGGGACCCATCAGTCTCCCAACTTAGGAACAAGAAGGGGAGAACATTGACTCTTCAGAGAAGCTTCATCTGGTCTTTGCTTTTGGGGAAACATATCTTGTGTGTGTTAATTTTGGATGTTGAGGAGACTCAAAGAAAGGCTATGCCTGGAACCATCCCATAATGCCAGAGCAGTGCCTTTGTTCTGTAGCTGTCATTTTCTTTACCCTGTTAAAGACACCTTGATGAACAGGTTTTACTTAGACATAAACCAAGGTTTTCTATGGGTTATATGAATTTTGCATTCTTCAAGTATTTGGAAAATATTTACCTGAGAGTCACATTGCATATATTTTGAATTTTAAAGTGTGTCAGTTCAGTTTAGGGCAACTTTCCTGACATCCCAGACATTCTGTTGATTATTTCTTATTTAAGTTTGGTCGTATTTGAAGACCATATGATGTAGAAAATCTCAGAACCAGCTGCTTAAGGAAAGTAATTAAAATTAAGAAGGATTATGGAAATGAACAACTGGAAAGCCTATCTTGTACACACACACACACACACACACACACACACACACACACTTAAGATAAATTGCTACATAAAAAATTAAAATTTCTTCTCTACAACAATTACTGTCAACTCACTTTAGGATGAGTAACAAAAATTAATAGTCTTGGTGACTTTGGCTTTACATTTTTTCTCTTCAGGAATGGCTCTATTATAGTATAACTAACATCACACACCTCAGTGACTTACAGTGCACAATTGTGTGACTATTAGAATATTCAGAGGTATGCAAGCATATTTTTATAATCTATTCTGCTTATTTAATCCAGAGCTGCTATCTCAAGCTTCTCTTGGTATTTTCTCTCTGCGATTGTGTGTGTGTGTGTGTGTGTGTGTGTGTGTGTGTGTGTGTGTGTGT